AAGAAGAAAAAAATGCAACAAATAAAAACTTGACCCCTTGAGAATATGACATGACAGAGAACAGATATCTAGTCCCCAACCACACAGACAGTGTACCTATTTTCTTCCTATAAGATACAGAGTTCAAATTTGTAATGAAAAAGTTATTTAATGAAATGGAAGAAAACACAGAAAAGCTGCTCAAAAATATCTAAGAAAATACAAAACATACATATATATATATATATGTCCTGAGAAATAAAATTAGCAAATAGAATATTGAAATGGAAGCCTGAAGGAAAAAATATATATCAGAGATTAAGGATGTAAAGAGATCTATAGAGGAGATAAAAAATCTGAAGAAAGCTATGGAAGTACAATAGTCCAAATGGAACATTGAATCAGTGACCTCAAAAATGATAATAGACAAAAATTCAGGGGGAATAAGGAAAAAATATGAAATTAAAAAAAATGAAGAATCACTTTGAGAATTACCTACTCCATGAGAACAGGTAATATAAGAATAACAGGTATCTAATAATAGCCAAATAATATACGTAGAACTTTATGCTATAACTATATACTACTCAGAATAATCTCAGTAAAATCATATATCTCCTTCAACCCCTTATCACCAATTTTCGTTGGAAAAGAAATACGAGGAGATTGCTCCCTTATGGGACCACAAGGCTCTACTGCAGGCCCACAAACCTATAGCCTGTCAATCAGTGAGCTGTATATACCTAGAGAAGAGCCTGCATGATGATAACTAGGTGCCCTCCCACTTCTATCAGTTGGTTTCTTTCACTTAGCCATGGTCAGAAGAACCTTAAAATAACCTCTTTGCACTTAACAGTAAGTTGAGGGAACCTCACTCCCATTAACCAAACATATGGACATTATAAGTCAACTTTCACTTATAACATCTTCTAAGATGATATTATATCATGTGCATTAGTTTCCCTTAGCCTGAATCAAAAAGATTACATCATCTAATTGAGAAATATAAAAAAGTACTAGATGATTCTAAGCCTGATTACTCAGGTAGTCATGATATTTCTGTAGATTATACTGCATTTTTCTAGTAAAGATAGAGAATTCTTCTATGTTCTCCTTAAAAGCTTTATTTCAGGCCCAATCGATGATAAAATAAAATTTTTAAAGTACATCTACTGTAGTAGTTAACTCAGAAGGAAATAAAAATATCCATTAATGCGAGCTCTAAGCAGTAGGCAAGTGTTACTTCCTTAAAGCATGTATGATGATGCAATTTTCTAGTCATCAACACAATTTATTTTGTGGATTCCTGTAGCATTCAGCACATGTAAAAAAAAATCAACCTATCTCTCATCTATATTGTTAAAATGAAGCATTTACATCAGTAAAACATCTGTGTTGAAAATTAGCTTCCATGGTGTTTTTCTGTAACATGTACTAACATAGTTTTGTTGATTATCTTTCAACAGGTTATCTTGTTTTCTGAGAAACATTATGTCTCAAAATTCAAATTACCCACTAGGATATTCACAAAGTTCAATATAATGCACATATTCATAAGAGAAAGGATGTTTTAGAATTTATTTGACTCACTCGTGCTTCTTTTTACTTTTTTTTTTTTCTTCGTCTTTTTCTTCCTTCATATCTTCCTTGCTTCTGGAGACATTCTTTGTTTTTACAGTTCTTTATGTCTTCATACTCAGAATC